TTGCATTAAACGGATTTTTTCACTTTTCATAGGAGCTATATGTTAATATTATACAAGTAGATGCTTACTCATCTAAACTAACTATGCTGTATATAATCAATCAAAAACATCTATACCAGATCTATACTCTGTCAAAAACATCAGTGCCAGAATAAGAAATTTTTTTTTGACCCTGTTGACAGCAGTAACTGTTTTTCCTCTGTCTATTGTTACCATGGTTATAAACAACCTACATTAATACTTAAAATTTATTTTTTATTGTTTAAATACCAGTTTATCGTCCCGTCATTCGAGCAAATTAGTGTTGACTTAAGTATCTATTTCTTATTGACTGAACATGATATTAGAGAAATTTGAAGAATATACATCAAGCTCTCTCTGCCAAAAAAGACTGTAAATACTCTCTCACATTTTTTTGTAATCAACAGGAAAAAAAATATATTCTACTGCTCTTTTGTTATCTCAAATGACCGTATATTACTATGTGAGACTTCCTTCTGTTCGAAAGTGAATTATACACCACGATGTGTATCATAACACTATAGCATACCTGTATTAAACAGAAGAGTCTTAAAGGGTAAAAGCTTTCGACCTTGTAAAGTTAATTATTAAAATATGGTGTAGAAATAAGGATTGATCTTTATGATCACGTTGATATTACATTCGCATCTAGACAGACATCTCCTCGAACGTGCATGCACAAAGAAACACTAAGAGAGAAAACTACTCTCCATTTCAAAGTATAGTGTCCTCCGATGTTTTCTGAATAATTTTTGAACAGAAAAAGATGGAGACCAGCGGTTTGCGCTTTCCGGTAGTAAACACCGGCGTATATCGATCTATTAAAAAGTCAGAATTTTCCGACAGGTCTACCATGGTGTACTGCGCATAGGAAAAACTGAGGCATCCCCATTCCAAAAAAAATCATAACGACTTATACTTTAAAAATATCTCAAATATAGAGCGACATCTCCTCTTTACATCTGCACAAGTCTCAGATCTCCATCCACCACTGCTCAGAAACTGCATCGGTTCTTCGAAGACCTACTCATACCTACTCGGACGATCCTTAGCCAGGGGAACCTTAAAAGTATATGCAAACACAGGTTATCGACTATGCTGAATCTCGTAGCAATGTTAGTTTTCAGAACAAAATGCAACAACCAAGTGAAAACTTATAATAGATGAAGTAACCCATTTTTGATTATCATCAAAAACTAAAACTTTCATGAGTCAGTCAAAATCCATCCAACCCACTTCAGAATGTCAGGAAATACTCTATTTTATCTGCAACATACTGTAAAGCTCAAAAAAAGTTGAAAAAATCAGTAGAAAATACTTTGATTTCTAGAAAGGTTTCGCAGAAACCTTCGGAACTAAGAGAATATTTTTTATTGATTTAAAGTACAGAATCAGAATGAGCGGATAAAATAGAGATGTGAAGAGGAGATGTCGCTCTATATTTGAGACATTTTTAAAGTATAGGTCGTTATGATGGGATGCCTCAGTTTTTCCTATGCGCAGTACACCATGGTAGACCTGTCGGAAAATTCTGGCTTTTTAATAGATCGATGTGCGCCGGTGTCCACCGCTAATCTCCAGCTCTTTCTGTTCAATAACCAAAAAGTTGACAACCTTCTAATTCTGCACATATGGTGTGCATAAACAACTTCACAATAAGTATCGCTTTATTGCTGCCCCTGCATCTCAGAGGAAATAACTCGTAAAATACTGTGGCTGAAGCTGTATGTATTCACTGAAAAACACGTCGAACTGCATGCTTATGACTTACCGGGAGAAAAATGTACCTTGTGTACATCTCCGTTGACATGACTTTCGATATTATCTTTCTTTTTTTAACCCTTACCCCCTCCGCACCCGTGGACATTCTATATTCTGTCATCCAAGCAACTTCATTTTATTTTAAGTATCGAATGGACATAGTGAGCACTCAAGAGCTCCACTTCAGTAGTCGGCTTTCATGGGTCTTCAAAAATACCTTCGGAGGGTAAAGGGTTAAACATATTTTGGTAATTCACTAGGACTCACAAAGCCGCTCTCATTCACACATACTCACTTAGGCTTTTCCAGTTCTGTTAGATATAAACACCATTCTATAGGTATGTTCTTTTCTGCTGGTTAGAGATGTGCAACCCGACGCGTACCTGACTCGGCCTGGAGATTGGGGTACAGGTACGAAGTTACCTAGCTATGGGTCCCGATATTTTTTAGTTTACGCGAAAACCGAAAGATTTTAGTGGAAAACCACAAATTTTTAATGAAAAAATACAAGATTATAGCTAAAATATATAAAGTTACTTGAGAACGTAATAATAACTTGACATATCCAGCCGAAAAACAAAAGGTTTTATTAACTGGAAAACGAAAAGAAGAAAATTTTCAATCATATGTGGGGGGCGGATCGGGTATACGGTGTTAATTTCGTAAGCACGGACGAGTTATACGGAGATAATTTCTGAGGGAGGGGAAGTTCTTGATTTTTGTAGAATTATTCAACGAAGAAACTAGACATTTTTGTTGTTACGTTATTCTTTAGTTGACACACAGAGATATATGCATGGTGGGAACCTGTGAGCTTATGACAGTGCGCGTGAGAGAGCATATGCATATTTGTGTGCATTCATTTTTCGTCTGTTTTACCTGACACATTTTCTCATTTTCACGTGAGATGTTGATTATTGTTCTCTCATAATATCGATAATAACCGGGGTCGAATTCTCGCATAGTGATGTGTTGTATTTCAAAACAAACAACCAAGCATCATACGCAGCATGCTGCTTTCATAGTCTCTTGCAAAAACAAATATGCTTTTTTTCGCAACTATAATTCATGCTACTCCAGTTCTGTTTAACTTCCAATTCTGTAGACGATGGAATTTGAATATCTGAATTTCCATGGCATCATTCCAAAGTTTCGATTCCCAACTATTTGGATTCGACAATTTCAACGGATGATAAAATTCTGTAGGTTCTAACCAGTTTTCATTTTTGGGTAAGTTATAGTGGTACGTTGGAAATGTACCTGTAGTAACAGCAATTCTGAACAAATCAGATGCTTTTCGGTATGGTTCCCAAATATATCCGTCAGGATTTAGTAAGCACGGACGATATTTGTATCTACTTGCGTTGTAGGGATCGGGACTATAATATGATCGCTTCATGTTCGTATGATTATTCAATACATTAACAGAAGAATTATAAATAGCTCTATCGTTTTGATAAGGCCAGTGATTACATAATGAACTAGATAAATCAACGAGTGTCGTTATTATAACTTCACAAAATACTTCTGGATATAAGGACATAACTAACGCAACTATTTTTACAAACGTCCGTAATTGATTATCAGCAAAAGGAATATAAATTACATCTGAATAACTTGATGTCAAAACATTGTCGGGACCATACAATATCTTGAATACGTTTCGATAGTCATTTGGAAAATCTGTGTTGAACAACTTACGAAAACGTTGCCATCCGTTTCTGTAATGCCACCAATGATTTTTCAATTCTTTTGCACCCAGTTTTCCACTTGTAAGGTTTACATAATGAATATATGAAGATATCCAAAATTCGTCCAATGAATAACGTTCGGGATGAGCAAAGACCTGAGTGAAATTAAAGAAAACATCATCAGCCAGATATAAGACACCGTGTAGTGTTGAGAATATATCAGATTTTTTTAGTCTATCCCCAAACTGTG